CATAGTCAATTCTCTTGCGTTTGACATTTACACACTACCGCCATCTGTTCAGTGTAGTGCCCGCCACAGTGTACTCAACAGATGGCGGTAATGTGTTAACGACGATGTTTTGCAGTGAGAAATATTCAATGTGTTATGTCTGTTTGTCTGTGCTTATTCGTTAACAGGGCGTTTTTTAACTGGGCTGCTTTTAAACTGGGCGTGCATAGTTAAAAAGCAGTTATACGTCAAAAATAGACGTCACATTTAGTTTGCCATTGCGTTATTAAAATTGGTGAGGGGCATTTGAATGGAATATTAAGAGTTAATATAAATAAATTTAAAATTAACTTCATTTCACACTGAAATCAGGACTTGAAAGCGTTTTTAGCAAAACGTTCAGTCTTTCTAAACTCGCAAAATTGAATGCTGCGAAAATAACAATAACAAAGTTTACACTGTTTCAATTCAATGCACATTAATTTTGGCGTAGGACTACGTCTTTGATTTCTATATGGGGGTACACTTTGTGAAAACCGAAAATGAAACATGTAACAAATTAAGAAAGATTTTGAACGTTAATAACTCAGCTGCGCCTGGTCCAATTTCAATAATTTTATCACCAATCGATCAGTAATAAGGCTACGCATCGATAACAATGCTTCCGAATGTTGATTTTCAACAAGAAAATATTGAAAAACTGGTAAATGTCCAGCATTGTCCAAAAGCGTCGAATTAACTAACAAATCCACCAATTACCTACATGCATATGCTGCTTCCCCAGCACAGTCGTCAGAGAGTAGTAAGTAGACGAAACAAGTCGAAGTGGCATTCGCCTCCTATCCTTGGGCGTGTGCGAATAGGGAGGATGGAATTGCGTAATATTTTGCACACTCATCGCCATATTCAGAACCAAACGCAAATTCTTCGAGATAACCACCATCCATCGTCTGGCTCGCCGTGGCGGTGTCTGACGTATCTCCGGTCTGATTTACGAGGTGTGCTGAAGGTGTTCCTGAAAAATGAGATCCGTGATGCTGTCACCTACACTAAACACGCCAAGCGTAAGCGGCCATGGATGTCATCTACGTTTTAAAGTGACAGAGACGCACTCTGTTTGGTTTCGGAGGTTAAATCATCACCAACTTTGGCAACAAAACGGCTCTTTTCAGGGCCACCAAGCTTATTACAGTAAAGAGTAGGAATAGAATTCATCTGCTTGTTTGTCCATATTCAGAACCAACGACCATACAAAATGCTCATGTAATCAAGCTGGAAGCAGGGGTACAAATTATTTTGATCAACCTTGATCAACTTTGAATTGCCATGGCCGGATATTTTCGATGGAAGAAGCAACAATCTTGCATCTAATTCGACGAAGACGGCAGGAAACATTTGTGAAGCCGAGTTATTTACAAAAGAGAGTGTCAATGAAGAGAATCGATCAATGTAGATAGGACCTATTGAAAAGTGACGCGAGATTTGTTTTCCGTATACTGAGCTCCAATGCTACCGACGCCAGGGAGGCCTACACCTGGACCCTATCAATCAACCCATCAACTCAACCGGGGACCAACGGCTTTACTTCCCGAAGGAAGGCGTGATCAGAGATGTTATGCCTTAGAACATGCAGGTGGCGCCGACTGAGATTGCACCTAGGCCTGCTGGGGTGAGAGGTAATCACGCTAATCACCGGCGCCGATATCTTTCAAATTTGAGTTTAGTTATATCAGTAATAAGAAATAAAGTGCAGAAACTCAGCGATGAGTAAATTTGCCTCATGTTTTCTCAGGTTTTTCCAGGGAAAAATTCTCGAATTTGAGAAAAGTAAAGATTGGATTCACTCAGTCTATTGGTACTACTCCGAGACTGAATAAAATTTTCGTCAATTTCCTAATTTTCTGGCAGATTTTTTAGGTTTTCCACAGAAAACCATGAGACAATTTTACTCATCGCTGAGTTCCTGCACTTTTGGCGATTATGAGTGAACTAAACTCAAATTTGGGGTGTTCTCATTCGCCGTGTACGCAGAAGGAAAAGAGCCAGTGTCGCTACTTGATAGCAAAATGCTCATAATGGGAGGAGTCTTTTTAGCATTTATATCACTTGGTTGCACATAATTCTGCTCTAACCTGAAAAGATATAAAAGAGCGCTGCTGTATGGCATTGCTCATTTTCGCTTCGGACGGCGTGGTGAACAGCAAAGTTCTTCGAGATAACCGCCATCGGTCGTCTGGCTTGCCGTGGTGGTGTCAAACGTATCTCCGGTCTGATCTACGAGGTGTGCTGGAAGTGTTCCTGGAAAATGAGGTCCGTGATGCTGTCACCTACGCCAAGCGTAAGTGGCCATGGATGTCCTCTTCAATAAAACGGCCCTTTTCAGGGCCATCAAGCTTACATCAGTAAAGAGTTAGAATAGAATTTATCTGTGCTCGTTTGTCCATATTCAAAACCACAAGCCCCCAACGACCACACAAAATGCTCTCCAGAGTTGTAATCTTGTATTGATTAATTCTCTTAATCAACTTCCCAACAAACATTGAATGTTGAATAAGAGCTTATTCAGGCAAAAACATGCTTCTTAAGCTAAAAATAGCTTATTCAGCTGTTGATCAACTCAAATTGTTTGTTGGGTTTCTCTTTGAAAAAAATACTACAAACTTGGTACGCCTACAATTCAAAAACGGAAAGAGTTGAGGTAATAGATAATTGATCAATTAAAAGAACTAAATGCTCTTCACATTTATTCCGTCCACTAGCGGTCCTACGTCAAGCTTCCGTTCGTGCCCCTAGGCACAGACCCTTCTACTTTTTTTAACGCCGATCAACCAATCCATTGAAGTTCTCCTCAGTGTTTTTTTGACGTTTGACAAGCCAGCCCAGTTAGCGAGTTGAATCACGGGGGAAGCAATCAATTATTTCGTCGTAGCTCACATCAATGTGATGGTTGGGTGAAGGTTAGGATGACTGCAACAGACTAAAGAGACGACATGTCAAAATTGGAACAATCGATTATCTGTCAAAGTCATAGGAAAAGTCATTCCAATCGAGCAGAAGACCTGTCAAATGGATATGGTGTCGTCTCAGGCTCTTTACAACAGACTATACTATTCGCCTTGACACCAGTCCCGAAGTGACGTTTCTTCACACACATTTTGACAGTTCCTTGTGGGGTTTTGCGTTGGAGTGAGAGAATAAGAAAAAGTCCGCCATGTTTCATACATAGACTGACAGTTACACATGAGATTTCTACATATGAGTAAAGAGTTACAGAGCTCTCGTCAACGCCAATTTCTAGCATTCAGCACTGCAACGCAAGCGTAAAAGAGTAAAGGCCGGCGCACAAAAGATACGTTTTCGGGTTTTTTGACAGATAATGCATGGGCTAACTGTCAAAAAACCTGAAAACGTATCTATTGTGCGCCGGCCTTAAGCTGTTTTGTTCTGTCTTACCTAAGAGGAAGAGGAGACAATAGGGGGACTTTTATGAACCAATTTTCTGTCAAACGCGAACCAGCACCTGATTGGTCGGGCGAACGTATAGAGACGCGAGAATTTTTACAACAGGGAATCTATTTTCTTGTATTTTGACAGTCGACAGCGTTGCCCATAATGAAATAGTTTTTGCACGGTCGTTTCCGCGAGAGAAGAAGAACACGTCACAAACAAAAATAAGCCTGTTGTTTTCTCTTCCTCTTAGTGTCTTACCTCCGTCAGCTTTACCGTTGTCAGCATGCCCAAAAGTGTCAGATTGTCCAAAAATTTCAAAACCATGTGAGCTATGGTGCATCTATATGCGGTTGACAGGGATAGGGTCCCCCATGAGTGGAATTCGTTAACTGGGCTGTGCTTTTAGCCCAGTTAGCAAACAAGTACTGTAATGCGAAACCTTATTTTTTTAATTCGCTTGAATTCTCCTTAGAATTTGCATGCACTTCACCACAGAATAGTATTGAAACATTTCTCAGAATAATCTTGGAGTTATCCTCTAAATTCTTCTGAAAATTCACATATTATTCTTCTTAAAATTATCTAAAAACTCTTTCGAGATGTCCTTGGAAATATTCTCGTAATCTCCTTTAAGCTCTTCGCAGAATTTCTTTGGAATTGTACTCTCATTTGCCTTCGTATTTTTCACGCACCTGGAATCCTCTTCACAATCGTCATGCAATTTTCCACAGAGCTACTTAAAAAATAGTCTGAACTAGGGATGGATCGCTCTTTTGAGACTTTTTAAATACAGAATGCTTATGTTACAACCAATTGAATTTTCAGTTAACCCATCTTAAAATAGATAGTTTAGTGCTATTAATCTCCTTATGAAAATTCAAAATTTCCGCCACACAGTGCATTTTTACTAAATGTGCACTTGAGAGCGCTCTCAAGAGCATTAAGAGATGAACTAGCCTATGGCTAAAAATCTCTATAATAAAGAAAAAAAAAAAAAGCTCTCAAGAGTGCACTTCAGTGAAAACACAGAGTGTGGGTCTTCAATGAGAAAATTTTGCATTTTGATAGGGAGATTAATAGACGAATGACGGGCTGTTTGTTTTGTTGTCGATGTCGATGCTAATCAATACGATCCTTAACAAAAGTTTGGTAAATGCTCCAATCAGGAATGTAGAGTAGAGTTCTTCATGAAACTCCTGAAAATTGCTGAAATTCTTTTAACGGTTCTTCTAAGTGACTGTATCCTGAAAATCAAGTTCAGTCCAAGGGTCTTGAAATTTGTTCAAGGTCCAAAATATTATTTGTTTTTCGAAGAGAGGACGAAGCATATTGCTTATCGATTTGTCATCGAAATTCACGGATTTTTTCCGTTTCCCTGGTCACCCTAGTTTCACCATCTGGGCTGTGCCTACTTCAACTGAATGAGAAAGAACAGCTCATAATAAAAATAAGGGAAACGATTTATCTAACATGTATCTTCCCTACTTTTGACCGTGAGCTGTTCTTTCATACTGTTATGGCAAAGGGCCATTATGTCAAACGCGGTAGAACCAATCCCAATTGCTACTTACAATCGATCCCTCTCCTCGATCACTGCAATCTTCCGTTGGAGTTCGTCTCGCCGGTTCTTGGGCGGAGGACCGAACTCGCCCGTCTCGTCCTCTTCTATTATGTCGTCGTCCTCTTCGTCGGACGACCGTGCAATGGTCCGTTTCGGTTGCGATGTGCCCGGTTCCTGTTTGATACGCACAGGATCAATGATGCCGACCGTTTCCCTAGGTTCACCACGTACGACGCAAGACGTCCGCAGTAACCACGGTGTCACGTACTGCCAGTGGACGTAGGTTAAATGTCGGAAGCCGGTTCTCAGGATGAATTTGAAATTGAGCAGCACCTGTAGATCCTGGATCAACTCGGCATGGTTTCGGAACTGTTCGCCCAGCTCCTGAACCGTTGCTCCAAGGTCAGCTTTTTCCTCGATGAATATTGCCACCGCCGAGAGGCGAGAGTTCTGGTAGATCAACGGAGAGGCTAGCTCGAGGAGTGGTTGTAGTTGATCTCGAGAAGGCCACAAGGTATCGTTGGTGATTTTGGTGAGTACATCCTGGCGGTCGACGAATTTTTCCGGTAGGAATACCTTCGGGATCAAACGGTTGTCAAGGTTGATCCGATCCCGGAGATCGCCGGGATCCTGGTAAGTGAGTTTGACGTTGATCTTCATGTAGTTAACGGCGACGGCCTTGTCGGTCATATCGTCTCCTAGGGCGGTCTTATCGCGGGTGGTGAATTCCGGTTCATTGCCTTCGGGATCCATGAGCAGGGTGTTTCCGTTGTCGTCGTCCAACTGGGTAATTTCGTAGCGATCCAACCAGTTGAAGTCCTGAACGTTCTGGAACTGCACGATGTCGTAGACCAGGTCCACCATGTTGACGGAGGATTTCATTCCTTCCGGAAGTCGCCCGAAGTCACGCTTCTGAGCGGCGGCCTGCAGTTTACCGTATTCTTTGATTGTCCGCATAAAGTATTGCGCAATGTTGTCCTCGCGAATCACCAACAGCGGAGTCATGTCGACGCGGGAGGCTCGGTTCGCCTTGATACGTTCGATGGTTTCCCGGTTTCCCAGCGCGATGGTGATGCACTTTTGGATGATATTCCGGTCAGTGCTCTGCAGTATGCAGTTTTCAATGGAGCAAATGTTGCAAGTTTCGTCGATCTTGATCGTTCGCAGCAGGGTTCCATTTTTTAGGCTGTTCAGAACACAGAAGAAGTGCAAATATTCAGAGGGAATTTTGGTCAGCTTCTCGACTGGGTGCATCACGTAGTTGAAGAAGACGTCGCTGGTCGTTGCAAAGTGGACTTTGGCCGCCGACCGAGGTTCGCTCTTGATTCGCTTAGCTGGTCCCTCAGATAGCTGTTGCTCTCGCAGTTCGACAGCTTGGGCGAGTTCGGCAAAATCACTTCCAAAATCATCCCTGAGATCCGGATTGGTGTTTTTCAGTTCCGGATTCAAATCTCCGACGGTTTCCAGATCGACATCCACAGAGTTCACCGACACCAGTTCACCGAGCAATAGGACCAAGCCTTGCCTGCCATCGTCGATGGTCAGCGGTTCTTCGTAGTTGGGGCGGTCGAGCATTTTTAAGTACTGAGAGTACACATGGTTGAACATTTGGAACGGGATCTTCGTCGCAATTTGATTCAGGTAAGTTATTGAAATGTGGTAGGGGTTATCGCATATCGACGGCATCACGGTTTTCGAACCATCCGGTCCCGACTTCAGCTTACGGGATAGTGAGATTAAACGAAACGAACGAACCAACTTCATGGCCGCGGAGAGATGCTTTTCGGAGTAGTTTTTGTAGATGTTGAACAGCTGAATGCTCAAGGTACCCTTGGCTCTGGCTGTGACCACAGCACTGTGGATCAAAGTGGCCAACTTGAGTACGATGATTTCCTCAATATTCGTAGGATTTGCATTGAAGTTGAGCGGTTCCGGTTTGTCATATGCCTGTAGTATGTTGAAACGTTCCTCGAACTCGGCTATCGTGTCCGGAATGAACTGGCTCTCTTTGGGGCGTTTAAAACCCTCCATCGGTCGAAAGCCTTCAATCATCTTCAACTTGGTTAGTGTATTTCTCAGCATGAAGACTAACTCGATAAAATGAATCTTAAGTGCCATGGCCAAATCTTCACTCGAGAGGAAGAACGTTTTCAAACGACCGATGAAATTTTTCCCGAATCGTTGCTCAATGACAGGATTGAGTCGGGCCTCCTCAACGCAAAGCTTCACATTGGCAGCCACACCAGGTTTGTGCTTGATCATATAGTTGATTCGTCGCTGGCAAGCTCGTGAGGTTTTGTTTAACGACTCCCGATTGGTCCAGTGCAGAATGTCCCGATAGACAGCCGAGTTGATGATCATGTTCGAGTTCAAGACCTCTCCGTACAGGTACCTCAAACCGATACGGCACAGCAGTAGCACCGTGTCCTCATTGTGACTCCAATCCACTCTCAGTTTCTCCATTTGCTTCAACGCCTCACGGTCGACGTCGTCGTAGTTGGATTTCTTTCGTTTATTCACCGGACGCTTCTCGATCCTACGAACCTTGATCGTGTGCTTCTTGTCGTTGAATCTCTTGTAGGTCGAAGCAAATGGCTTCACCGTTAGCTTGGCCTTCAGACAGAGCTTCTTCTCCTTGCCAGTGGTCATAATCTTCTTGCTGATCGTGCTGCGGGCTGCCGTGGGTTTATGCAACTGAGCAATCTTCTTCATCGTCTTCAATCGTTTCAATTTTGCTAGGTGATTCTTCACTGCCGGTGCATAGTTCATCACCTTGCTCCAGTTGGACTTCAAATGAACGAACATGGCCGTATCCATTCCCGCTGCACCGCGATTATCTCCCGGAGGTAGCTGAGGCACGTCAAACTCGACCGCCTGCTCCGGTGTCCGAGTCTTGCAAGCTTCCACAATCTCCGGTTTGACATGCAGCTGCTGAACCAGAATATCCTTTCCAAATGCAGCACTTCGGCGATTCAGCCGGGTGCCCAAGGCGATCTTGTACAAATGCTCCCAATAGCTGTGCAAATCATCCATGCAATCAAGCTTAAAAGCCTTCACCGGATACTCCCTATCTTCAATCTCGTTGTACCCGATGGCAGATTCCCGAGTATCCAACAATGCCGCTGTCCTATTCACGTAGATAAACGTCTGATCACGATCCTTCATTCGCTGGGGGCCGAATTGTAGCAAACCAGCGTAGCAAAGCTTCTGAGATAGCTCGTAAATGTTGAAGATATATTTCCGCTGCCGGAACAGCTGTAGGCGAATCTGTTTCGGCAACTGCTTGATCAGCATATGCTGCCGAACGGGATGATTTAACCAATAGTCCAGTTCCTTCGTGTAGAATCCGAACGTACAAATCTGGCAGAATACCGACAACGGCAAGCGCAGTGTTATATCCGTCAACAAGGCCCATCCTTGCCCGTAGCTTTCGTACACATTTAATGGCGGCACGAACATCTTCCATCCAGCCTCAGCAAAGTAAACTGGACCGAAATCCTCCTGGGCGGAACTCAAATCCATTATTTCCAGCTCCATACCGTGTAATTCCTGTGCATCAGGTGAAAGCTCATAAATCAAGTAGAACAGAAACTCATGGAACAACCTCATCCTCAAACATTTGGCTAGCGTTCCCTCGTAGCTTGTGCCGACGGTAGCGTGTAACGTTTCACTTTCCGTCAGCGGTTTCTTCGCACTCGACTGCCCCACAGCCGATAGCATCATCCTGGCCTTGGCCGCCTCAATCTTCCCCTTCAGACTGGGACTATCGTTGCCCACCACCATATCACACGCGTACGCCACATTGATCACCCTTTCCTCCTTCGACAGCTTCACATTCGCTATCTTCAAATACTTATCCACCGCCAGCCTTCCAATCAGTCTCAGAACCGACTTGTGGCACGCTTCTCCCTTGTAGCCTTTCTCCCTCTCGTCCTTGTTGATCTTCTTCAGCACCTCCCTCGGTTCGACCACCTGGTAAGTTTTAACCAGCTCCAGTATCAAATTGCAACGCTTCAGCACTTTGGCGCTGATGTGCTTGGAGTTCATGGCCGAAATGCCTCCGAGGGTCTTCTTCAATCCGGCCACCTCGTCGCTGATGTTGATCTCGACATCGATCGAATCCAGCATGGTGGTGTTAGCATTGGAATACAAATTCAAGTGCATCTTGTACCGTTCTTCGTCCTCTTCGTCTAAGTGTTCCTGATCCACGGTCGTACTGAGGCTGCTCGATTCACTTAAGTTCGTTGGGCCGGAGGTCGACGCCAACGGAATCGGCAGTGGCAGTTGAGGTGGTGTCTGAACTGAAGTTTGTTGCTGTTGCTGCGGTTGTTGTTCCGATACGTTTCCTGACAGTGAATGGTGGCTGCTCATCAGTTGGATGGCTTCCTTGTCGAATGTGATCGTACGCTGGTTCATGCCCGGAAGGAAGTATCTAAAACAAAGAGAGCAATTGAAATCCGGTGTGTAATTTCTTGCGTGCAAGTATGGAGAGGGTGAACGATTCTAGAATTGGTACCCATTATAAGGGGGCTCACGTTAAGGCGCGATTTAATTACTTTAATACATGTTCGAGAAATTCGAATTTCAAAGGCATACTCACTTAGTTGTTCGCTGCCGACCTTCGTCCACCGCACTGCCTTCGACGGCTTTGATTCGCATCAGATTTTTCACCAATGCCCTCGCGTTCAACCGATCCAGACCCATCTGCACTGCCAGCACGGACTGCGAAATGCCCTGATCGCCCGAGTTCGCTATCACATTGTACGCCTGCTGCAGCACCGGCATGTCGATATACGCCTTCTGCGAGTCCAAAAATCCATCCTTCTGGTCTTCCTCCGTTTGTTCTTCCTTGTACCACAGATCGTAGACATCCGCATCCGGGTCTATGAGCCGCATTATGCGAATCTGCTTCTCCTCGTTCCGTTTGTTCTTCAGCATATACTCGCGCGGTTCCGCATCCGGGTAGAGGGTGCGGTAGGCGACCGTTTCGTCGGTTCTGATGAATTTTGTAAACTCATTGCCGCGGAACCATTTCCGCGCTTCGGCTCGCCCCAAGACGATAAGTTTGATCTCATCATAATCCGCTATGTAGTTTGGACGCGTTTTCAGTATGTTGACCACTTTCTCGGTGATCACTAGGGCTTTCGGTTTCATTTCACAGTAGTACCGAGGTAGGTGGTAAACCATTCCCTGTATGCTGGTGTCGCCCGTTCGCTGACACAGCGCCTGGCGGGTGATCAGCTTACAGTCGGTCAAAAACTTACGATTATAGTAAAGAATGCTCGAGTCCTTTGTGAGCTCGACCAGGGAGAACTTGCCTTGGGAGGTTTCACCGTTGTAACGGGACCTTGCTATCCATTCCAGCATACAGTACTGGATTATAGATAATTCAGATGTACAATTCGGTTCTATAATAATCGATTCTCGCATTTTCTGCGAAGCAACGATAATAAACATGTTGGGCCATCTGAAAGTATAACCAAATAAATTGAGGATCGACTGTAGTACCAGCAAATGAAAACATAGTGACCAATTCCATACCTATTCTCCACATCCAGATAGCTCATTGTGGCCAGTTCCTCTCTGGAGACAACCTGCCGCGTATCGTAGCATTCACACGAGCCTCTTATCCCGTTGGCCGTGACGGGATTGTATTTGAACCGATGGCCGGGATATTCCTTGGGTTCCTTCATGACACCAGTGGATGGGTCCACCTGCTCCATTCGGTCGAAATAAACAAAGGGCTTCCGCGGTTCCGGAAGCTGAAAGAACATGTACTCACTGTTCTGCACAATCAAAGACCACACGGAATGGCAGAATTTCGGCGGAACAGGCATCTTGATTTTCAAACGGATTGCCAAATGGTTCCACAACGCTGTCGGAAGGTACAAGGTAAACAAAATCGCAAGTTAAAAACACACTCGGAGAATGGACATTTCCGGGACCAAAACTGTACTTACTGTCAAGCGTTGTGCCTTCCAGCCCTTCCAGGGCCACTTCCTCGTGGAGGACCGCCGAAAGCGGACCGTTTCGAAGCATTTTACATGGAAAATTATGGGATTATTCAGGCACTACACAAAAGCGAGTACAAACGTTACTGATTGTTGTGACACAACTTGGGAAATTTTTTTGTTTGACAGGACGAACGATGACGCCGACGCAACATCAACGCCAATCGATCAGCTGCTTGTTTTTTGGGTTGCACTTCGGCGGTTGACACACCCTGTGCGGATCTGTTTACCAACATATAGAAACGAAGGTAGCCGAATGAGCACGTGGTGTCCGTTCGGGTTTTCATCAGACGGCGACCGACCGATTGGCAAATCAAAGTTGGCCCCCGTGGAGAATAGAAGAACTAGGAAAGTGATGAGTATTTCAAAATTATGCTACTTATTTTAGTAAAATCTGGTTATTACCTCAATTACAGTCTATGTTATTACTATGTTAGGGAAGATGCATAAATGAAGTAGCATTTCAGGGTGCAGTCATGTTGAAAAATACGCTACAAGGGGAGGGAGTCCAATGTTACCACAAACGAAGTGACAGACGACTAACTGGCGAAGAAATCCATTAAAATAATGTGGTTCACTGTAATAGAATTTTCTTGGAAGCTTGTGCCATCATCCACCAGATGGGTTAGTTTTTTGTTTTGATTTGAAAAAAGTTGATTTTGTGTACAATGATTCTTTGACAGTGTGCAACGAGTGCGTATCATTTCGACAGTGAGCATTCATAAGGGCGAATACGCGATGATCGATTCTCTTCATCGATTTTCTCTTTGCATTGCTACAGCTAGGCGAAACAATTTTCTAGAATTTGTTCAATGCAGAGTAGTAACAGGTTGTATTGGCTATCGAAAGCAACAGCAAACGCACCGAGAAACGTTAAATCTAGCGAGTTATTAACAAAAGAGAAAATCGACGAAGAGAATCGATCATCGCGTATAGGCCCTTATGCATGCTCACTGTCGATTTTGTCATTTTTTTTTATGCATTTCAGTTTTGAGTAGAGTGAATGAGATAGAACCAAAACATTCTAGTACATTTGGTGAAAATGCTAGTTCAATCTAATAGTAGTGTTGCCATGTGGTACAATCCAGTAGTACTGGTGTTGCCATGTGGTACACTGAAAAATTGCAATAGCAGGTTAGTCACCAAAGTTTTCGAGCCGCTCCGTCTGTCACTTCGTTTGTGCTTTGCACACTGTCAAAGAATCATTGTACACAAAATCAACTTTGTGCAAAACCAAAACAAAAATCGAGGGAGGCGACACATCTAAATCTCAAGTCTAGATGCTCAACAAATCTCACACTAGCGAATCAATCTTCGAAAAATCTTCTTTCATTTCTCGCATCTACTTGCATCACGCATCATCTTTTTGCAGGAAATCTTCAAAATCGTCATCAATCTTCTTTCTATCTACTCAGCGTGCGTGCAGCTAGCCACAGCAAAACACAATCTTTTTTGCATCGTAGATAGAGTCGTCCCCCTCGACAAAAATACTATCCCATCTGGTGGATGATGGCACAAGCTTCTAAGAAAATTCTATTACAGCGAACCACATTATTTTAATTGATTTCTTCGCCAGTTAGTCGTCTGTCACTTCGTTTGTGGTTAAGGTGCAAATCAGTTCAGATTTGTGGAAAATTGTACAATAAGACAATTGCCGATGGAAATTGGCAAGATTTTGAATGAAAAATGCTGTTATTTGCGTTGGGGAAAATACTTATTCTGATGTAAACAAACGGTTTGGTTGACGTTTCTTCTCGAACTCGCGTGGCGCACTCTACGTTGGTGGTGCATTAAAAAGGCGTATAGGATCTATGTGGTTTGTCTTATGGAATAGGCCTTTTTAATGAGAACTAAACGATCGATTCAACCTCTGGTGGTGAATAGGAGAACGTCAAAAAGAGTGTCGTGAGCAGAAATTTTTGTCTTGAGGCATAGGAAGCGGAACACTTTTTTACTTTTCCTGATAAATTGATTCATCTGAGATGCTCCAAAACTTAACCTACAGTTGAAAAATTTAATTCTGTAACGTTTTTGCAAAGATCCTGCTGGTGTACAGGAATATTTTTGTTGCGAAAAATGAAAAATTAGAAAAGTGCCTTAGTGGTTATGATCTTCCGGATTTCTTGTGTGTGGATAGTAAGGGTACAAATCAGTTCAGATCTGTGGAAAATCGTACAATAAGACAATTACCGATCGAAATTGGCAAGATGTTGAATGAAAAATGCTTTAATTTGCGTTGTGAAAAATAGTTATTCTGATGTAAACAAACGGTTGGTGAAGTTTCTTCTCGAACTCACGTGGCGCACTCTACGTTGATGGTGCATTTAAAAGGCGTATTGCCTAAACTGGAACGAAGATCCCTTAATTTCTTGAAGTTAGCTGAACTTTTACGAAATTGTTTGATCTGCTACGCAATTCCCTGAACGTTTAAAATTCTTTTCATTTCTAAGGAAGGATTCCGCAGTTCCTCGAATTGCTGCGTATTTCGCTACTTAGTCTTCTACAAAGAAAGCTGTACTTCTACGATTTTCGTTGGTTTTTCGCGAAGTTCCATTAAGTTTCCACTAGTGCCATTCCAACTTCATTAAATTTTAACGAAATTAAGGAAGGTTCCGAACATTTTGAAGGCTTTCAAACATTCCAGACCCCCTGGTCACTGTTGTAATTTGGTATTGCTTCTGTAATACCAAAATAGATTCGACTCACGCAATAGGGCCCATCATTAGCAGAATTTTATGAAGTCCGAAATTGGAAATGTTGTTAATGGTTTAAGAATTTTAAATTTTTATAAGTTGCATGTAAATTATTCTAGGCCGTATTGATAAATTGAGCATATTTTTTTTTAAACAATGGGATCCAGCATTCTCCGACAAAGATTTTTTTTGAAGATTGCATGAGAATTTTTATATCAATCTGAGGTTAGGCCAGTTTTTCACATTCTTGATCTATGCGAGATTTTCTTGGAGATTTCTGACTTCAAATATGGTGTATTTTAAAGGAATCTATGACAAAAGGTCGAATTGAACTTAGAGGGACAAAAGAACGAATAGAGAACAAGTCGAATTGAACATAGAGGAATAAAAGATCGAATCGAACTTAGAGAGACCAAAGGGCGATTTTAACATAGAGGAACAAAAGAATGAATCGACAAATAGTCGAATTGAACTTAGAGGTACAAAAGACAAATCGACGAAAGATCGAAAGGACATAGGTCGAATTGAACTTAGAATGACAAAAGGTTAAATGAAACTTCTTCTTCTTCGCATTTCAAGTTTATTGCATATCGCATATTAGCTTATTGCGTGCTCTCAACTTAGTGTTCTAGATGCACTTCCACAGTTATTAATTGAGAGCTTTCGATGCCTATCCAGAATTTTAGATCGCTTATGGCCGCCACAATCTAGCTGATTTTCTGGCAGGGAACATAAGATTTGAAGTTTGGGTTGTGTCGCTTGACGTGTAAACTATCCAATTTGAACGTTTACACGTCAAACGACACAACCCAAACGTCAAATCATATGTTCCCTACCAAAAATTTAGCCAGATTGTGGCGGCCATAGTCGCTCGTAAAATGCTGGATACCATTTTTGCATTGGTATAATTGTGTGGCAAGTCCAATCATACTTCTATGCCCAGGGAAGTCGAGAAATTTTCCAACCCGAAAAATTCCTAGACCGGACCGGGAATTGAACCCAGCCACCTCCAGCATGTTCTTGCTTTGTAGCTGCGCCTTTACCGACTGAGCTAAGGGAGGCCCCAAGTTAAATGAAACTTAGAGGAACAAAAGTTCGAGTTTTACATAGAGGGACGAAAGGTCGAAGCGAACTTAGAAACAAAAAAGGTCGAATTGAACTTAGAGGGACAAAACGACGAATCGAGAAGAGGTCGAATTGAACATAGAGAGACAAAAGGTTAAAGAAACTTAGAGGGACAAAAGGTCGAATTGAACTTTGAGGGACAAAAGTTCAAGTTTAACATAGAGGGACGAAAGGTCGAAGTGAACTTAGTGTGGTGAGTAGTATTTCTCTCAAGGAATATTTGAACATGCGCTCTATTAACTCCACAAAATGTTTCTCGTAATGTGTCTAAGATAATGCTTGGAAATGGGGAATGTTCCTTTTTCTTTTTTTCTTTTGTTTAAATGATCTGTATTTCAACCATCTAAGAAATTGATAAAATCTAAATATAATACTACTCACCACACTTAGAAACACAAAAGGCCGAATTGAACTTAGAGGAACAAAAGGTTAAATGAAACTTAGAGGGACAAAAGGTCGAATTGAACTTTGAGGAACAAAATTTCGAGTTTAGCATAGAGGGAAGAAAGGTCGAAGCGAACTTAGAACCACAAGAGGTCGAATTGAACTTAGAGGGACAAAATGTCAAATTAAACTTAGAGGGACAAAAAGTCGAATTGACAAAAGATCGAATTGAACTTAGAGGGACAAAAAGACGAATCGAGAAGAGGTCGAATTGAACATAGAGGAATAAAATATCGAATCGAACTTAGAGAGATAAAATGTCGAATTCAACTTAGAGGGACAAAAAGTAGAATGGACAAAAGATCGAATCGAACTTAGAGAGACAAAAGGTCGAATTAAACTTAGAGGTACAAAAGAATGAATCGACAAATAGTCGAAATGAACTTAGAGGTACAAAAGGTCGAATTGACAAATGAACTTAGAGTTACAAAAGGATAAATTAAACTTAGAGGGACAAAAGGTCGAATTGAACTTAGAGGTACAAAAGAATGAATCGACAAATAGTCGAAATGATCTTAGAGGTACAAAAGACGAATCGACAAAAGTTCGAAAGGACATAGGTCGAATTGAACTTAGAGAAACAAAAGGTTAAATGAAACTTAGAGAGACAAAAGGTCGAATTGGACTTTGAGGGACAAAAGTTCGAGTTTAAAATAGAGAGCCGAAAGGTCGAAGCGAACTTAGAAACACAAAAGGTCGAATTGAACTTAAAGTAACAAAAGGTCGAATTGAACTTAGAGGGGCAAAAGGATAAATCGAGAAGATGTCAAATTGAACATAGAGAAATAAAAGATCGAATCGAACTTAGAGAGAGAAAATGTCGAATTAAACTTAGAGGGACAAAAGGTCGAATTAAACTTAGAGGTACAAAATAATGAATCGACAAAAGGTCGAATTGAACTTAGAGGGACAAATGACGAATCAAAAAGTCGTCGAATTTAACATAGAGGGATTGCACGAGCCCAATGCTCGCTTGGCGTGTCTCCGTACGCTCGGAGTGAAGCATCGGAAAATCCATGAAGCTCCAAAAATGTGATCTGGTCCGTTAAAGCAAACCGAGGAATTCGTAGTTTCTGGAGATGTGGAAAATTCTTGATGAAACTGGACCATTTGTCGTGAAGATCTGTTGGGAGTTGCTCGTAACAATCTAGTTTTCGTTCCCACAGGCCTTGAAGGAACAGCTTTCCTATAACGATCACAGAGCCTGCCTAATGGGCCAAACAGACTGGCTGTCTGAGACAGCACTATGCGTTTGGTAAACTGATCACTATCGACAAATTTGGGAATTTTGGAAATGAATTCATCGAACGAAGGCTCCCAAAGTAATCCCAAAGTTTGTATAGGAGATGATTGGTGCTGGTCCCGAATCTGTCCTATTTCCCAAAGCTCTGTGGGAATCTCATCTCTTGAATTTTATGAACATTTCCGAAGTGTGAGACCTGCTGATTTCAACATTAGCTCTAGTTGTTTGGTGGTTTCGAGAGACTCATCAGATCATCCACATAAAATCCTTTCCTTACTATTGGTGCATCAGTTGGAAAGTTTGCTGCTTCATTGACCGAAAGCTGTTGCAAACAGCGTGTAGCAAGGTACGGTGCAGTGGTGGTCCCGTATGTCACCGTGGTAGGTTTGAAGTGGTTCAGTTGGAGATTTACGCCAAACAACTTTCCGGTAACGTCGATCGATTTCAGCTACAAGCATCTGGCAGAAAATTTGCGCCACATCAACTTTGATTACAATTCGTTTCATGCGGAAACGAAACAATAAGCAGACCATATTTTCGTCTTGAACCGTTGGTCGTTCAAGGAGAAATCCAAGGTGGATTTGCCCCTTGCACGAGCCATCAAATACAATCCGTAGCTTTGTGGTCGTACTATCAGGCTTAATTACTGCATGATGTGGTAGATAGAAGTGTTCACCCGGGACTTCATCAGTAGCGTCGGCCAACTTTATGTGGCCTAAACGGATGTATTTACCCATGAATGCAGAATATACATGCTTCAAGTCGAGATCCCTTTCAAGTTTCCTTTCCATAAAAAAAAACGCCGTGTTGCGATAGAACGGGAATAGTTTTTAGGCACCTGGCATCCCTGCTGTCTAAAAAGACATTCTTTATGGCCGAATGTTTCGCGATCATTTATCAATGTTAAAGTACCCGCATAAATGATAACCATAAGGAGTGCCTAACAACCTATTCGGGTTGTTCCACGATAGCTCACTGGTTCAAAATACGATTTCGGAATGTGATGGTTTTCGCGAGAGAAACACTCGAATGCGTCCGTCGTATACAATGTTCAGTTTATTTCTGTTGTTCGTTTCGTACAGTGCTGCCAGTTTAATTTAGAGAATAAAATATGATTATTTTTAGTGGCAAATATTAATTAAAGAGGTTTCGTTATCTCACAACCGTTCATTCTCCCCCCGTTGAGGCCTGTGGCTCAACAGAAGGCAGCATAGCGATTTTAGTCACCGCCCGCTTGTACTCGCTCGTCGCCGTCCGGACCGTGACCACTCGAACGGCTCCGTCTTCACCAGGATGGGTCGCCACTATACGTCCTCGACGCCATTGCTGAGGAGGCAAGTTCTCGTCGACTAACAAGACCATCGCACCGACTTCAAACCGTCTCACACCATCGTGCCATTTCTGACGGCTTTGGAGATTGTGTAGATACTCCTTAGACCACCTACGCCAGAAGTGTTGCTGCATCAACTGGATATGTTGCCATCTGTTTAAGCGCCCGATCTTTTCGTCTTCGTATGATGGTTCCGGTAAGGCTACTGCTGACCTTCCAATTAAAAAATGTGACGGTGTAAGTACTGACATATCGCTTGGATCCTCCGACATCGCGAATAAGGGTCGCGAGTTGAGAATCGCCTCCGTGCGAGCAAGAAATGTATTCATCTCCTCCGTTGTCAATCTGGTTTCGCCAACAACTCGTTTCATGTGGTACTTCAGCGACTTAACTCCTGCTTCCCAGATCCCACCAAAGTGGGGACTTCTTGGCGGGATAAAATGCCAAGTGATTCCCTTCACCGAGCAGAATTCATCCAACTTTAGACGATGCTGTTGCTCCTCGAATAACCTTTTCAGCGCTGCGAGCTCGTGGTTCGCACCAACGAACGAAGTCCCGTTGTCGGAATACACATCGGACGGAAAGCCACGTCGACTAGCAAAACGATGCAAAGCAGCGATGAAATGGTCCGATGTCAGGTTTGACACTAATTCGAAATGAATCGCCTTCACAGCCATGCAGACAAAGACGACAACGTATCCCTTGAATGTCTTCGTGCTTCTTCCTTCTGGTTTCAGTTGGAACGGTCCAGCGTAGTCGATACCAACCCGTGAGAATACTGGAGCAGGATTAACGCGAGCCTCCGGAAGGCTACCCATGAACTGACTGCCAAGATTAGGTCGATGCTTCGCACAAATTTGGCATTGGGAAATGATTCGCTTGATGATTGATTTCGCCCGTAGGGGCCAATACCGTTCACGGACGATGGATAACAGTCCGCCTTGTCCCACATGCTGGTTTTCTTCGTGTAGTTTCCGGATCAATGCCTCTGTGACATGGTGTTTTGCCGGCAGCAGCACTTGGTGCTTACCGTCGTATGGTATCGCCGAGTATTTCAGCCGACCGCCCACTCTGATGAGTCCGTCCAGTCCGATGAACGGTGCTAAGTTGGATAGACCGTGCCGTTTGCTTGATTCAGCTTTCAGCCCTTTCAGTAGATCACCGAACACTTCCTTTTGATGGACCAAGAACATTGCTCGTTCTGCACTGGTAACTTCGTTGGCGCTGATACTTGTGACGTCACGCTTCTTGTGCACCACGTAGTCGATGAACCTCAGGACATACGCCCAGGCACGCTGTAGTTTACGGTAGTCGCTTACACGATCCAGTCTGATTCCAATGCCCTCTATCACAGTTGCTAGTACTGTCGCTGTTTTGAGTTCCGGTATTTCAAGAACCTCGTCAGCTACGCCTGCTTGCAATTCCAGTTGCTGTAGATGTGGTGAACCTTTCCACCAGAGATCGTAGACCAACAAGTCTACCGGTGATGCACCTCTTGAAATCACGTCAGCAGGATTGCTCTCCGATCGGATGTAGTTCCACTGATAACCTTGAGTCAACTCCACGATTGTTGCCACCCGATTCGAGACAAATTGATTCAGTGCCGACGGTGACTTTTTGAGCCAACACAATACGATGGAACTATCGCACCACAACTTCACATCGTCGAAATGAATTCTCATCGAAGCAACCACTTTCGTTGTCAAGTCCGCCAGTAGTTTTGCTCCGCATAATTCCAACCGGGGAATCGTCATCGGTTTTAGTGGAGCCACTCGCGATTTGCTTGCAACTAGGTTCACACTAATCGTGCCATCCGCTGTGACACACCTGGTATACATGACCGCTCCATAGGCCCGCATCGAAGCGTCCGAAAATCCATGCAACTCGATTCGTACTGCGTTCTCGGGGATCACACAGCGCTGTTTGTGCATTGCGTTGACGACAGGCAATTGTTGCCTGAACGTAGTCCACTCCTGCAGCAATTCTTCCGGTAGCTCTTCATCCCAGTTTAAGCCAAGACGCCATATATTCTGCATCACCAATTTGGCTGCTGTTATTACCGGTCCCAGGAACCCCAGGGGATCGAATAGGCGACCGATATCGGACAGTACCATTCGCTTCGTCGACGACGTATGTTCACTGATCGGCTGGACGAAGAATGCAAAATAATCCTCAAGCGGGTTCCAAATCAAACCCAGTGTCCTTATCGTGTTGTTGATTCCAGTATCCTCAAAACTAACGAACTTCGCTTGCAGCTCCTCTGGTATTGCCTTCAGTACTTCGGGATTGTTTGAACAAAACTTGTGGACGCCAAATCCTCCACGTTGCAACAGCGACGTTAGCTCGCGATAGATCTTCAACACCTCCACCGCAGACTTTCCACCAGTTAGGAAATCGTCGATGTAACTGTCGTACCGGATCACTTGTTCAGCTAACGGGAAATCCTTGCCTTCGTCCGTTGCCAACTGAATTAGCGCTTTTGTAGCATGATGCGGTGAGCTAGCCACCCCGTACGTCACTGTTTTCAATTCGTACACCTTGCGTACGCCGTTTTTATCCACCCACACTATTTTCTGGAACTTGCGGTCGTTCTTGCTTAGCCAAACCTGGCGATACATTTTAGGCACGTCTGCCGTTAATACCACCGGATGCACGCAGAACCGAAGAATGATTGTCTGCAGATCGCTTTGGACTGTCGGTCCCACACAAACTGTGTCGTTCAGGGAAACTCCTGATGTCGTGCTGGCCGAGGCATCAAATACCACGCGAACCTTTGTTGTGGAACTCGTGGCCTTGAACACGGCGTGGTGTGGTATGTAGTATCCATATCGGGTGTCCTCGGTGATCTCCTCCATATGGCCGAGCGACAGGTATTCAGCCATAAATCCGAAGTACTGTTCGCGTTTGGCCGGGTCCTTGGCCAAAGAAATCAATAGCTTGTCCAAACGTTTGCTTGCCATCTCGAACGACTCGCCCAGCTGCTTCTTGCGGTCATTGAATGGTAGTCGAACCGTATAGCGTCCGTCTTCTTCTCGTACGTGTGTCTTCCCAAAGTGTTCCTCTACCAGCGCTTCAGCAACGGTCATGTTTGACTCTGTACCAACGTTCTCGATCTCCCAGAATCGCATGAGCGTCTTGTTCAACATCTCGTCTTGGTGGTTCAGTTGACACACACGCAAGCATTCCTTGGACTTCCTGGTCTATACTGATCCTCCTACGACCCATCCTAATTCCGTCTCTGTCAATGTCGCTTCGTTTTTACCCAGTTTTAGACGACCTTGCTGGATCAGATCGAAGAAGATCTCGTTGCCGATGATTAGGTCAATCTCACCGGGGGTGTGGAACGATGGGTCAGCTAGCTTGACGTTTGCTGGTAGCAGCCAAGATCGGTAATCCACTTCAGTCACTGGTAGGTTGGATGTCACCTTCGGTACGACCAGGAAGTCTAGAATGGACGAGGAAAAAGAATTAACAAGCGAAACGATGTTCGTGCTAACGATATACTTAACTCGTGTCTGGATATCGTTGAGGCCACTGATAGGCAGATCGACTTGATGCAGCTTCAGATTTAGCTTGGATGCTAGCTTTTCCGTTACAATGTTACTATCGGACCCTGAATCCAATAGCGCTCGAGATTTGATAGTGGTACCTCCTTTTCCCACCACCAACACCTCCGCTGTAGACAAAAGCACGTGTCGCTTAACCGTACCGCTGTGAGTGCACAACGTGGTTCCTATTTCTTTCTGTGGACTGTTTCCTGACGACTCCGGTTGCTCCACCGGCTTTGGTGGCGGCTTTTCAGGTTCGCTGGATTCTTTCTGTACATCGCTGGGATGAAGCAAGCTGTGGTGCTTCCGACCGCACCCTCGGATTTTGCATCCTTGTTCGGACGGACAGTCAGCAACTCGGTGCTTGGACTTCAAGCAATTGAAGCACAAATTCGCCCTCGTGACGATGGATTTGCGCTCCCCCACACTAAGCTCCTGGAACTTCGTGCACTTGTATATAGTATGCTCTTCTCTGCAGCAAGGGCAGTTCTCCTTGGTGGTCTGGACGAACGATCTCGACGAAACTGGAGCTGACTGCTTCTGGTTCAACGCTTGGCGTTGCTTGTTTAGGACGGTTGACTGCTGTGACGTTTGCTGCTGTGAGCGATTAGTCCGCTGCAGAACGCGTCCCATTTCCCTCAGAAAATCCATGAACTCCTTGAATACTGGCGTCTTGCCGGTGCCCAGTTTCAACTCCCAATGTTCTTGAGTCTCTCTGTCCAGCTTCTTATACAGAACGTTTACGATGATCAGCTCGGATAATCCTTCCACGACGTAACCATGGCCCTTCAATGCATCAGCATGCTTAGCACAAACTTCGACCAGCTTCGAGATTGACTTACCGCGATTTTCCTTACCGATCTTCTGAAAGTCGAGAATAGCATCGATATGCGTGTCCATAATCAACCTTTTATCCTCGTACGCATCTTTGAGGATTTTCCAGGCCATGTCGTAATCGTTGTTGTTTACAACATCCTGGTCAATCTTGTCCTTCGCCTCACCAGTCAAGCAGTTTCGCAGATGCAGAATCTTCATCGCCGGAGTTTCGTTCGCATACCTAGCCATGATACTGGAAAACAGGCTCTTGAAGCTATACCAATTTTCTGGATTCCCGTCGAAAGTGGGAAATGGTGCATGTAGTTGCGGCACTTGCTGTTGCACGTACACCGGCGGTTGCGGTACAGCAACCTGGTTTTGGCTTGTCGCTGAGGAAACTGCATCGATCTTCGTGTTTAGACAAATATACAGCTGATTGTGCAGCTCCTCGAAAGTAGCGTACTCTATCCGTTGCTCAGCACGTTCATCCCTAGGAAGCATGGCACAAATATCCGCATTTATCCTCTCGTAGTCGTCAGCACACCTACGAAGTGTTTCCAACTGGAGCTGGAGCAAATGAATGTTGACATTCTCTGCCCGCAGCGTCTCGTTCATCCGCAACAGCTTGTCAACCAGCATATCGCGCCGATCGTATAGCACTTCCAGATTTTTCTCCATGATGATATTCTCTTCTTTCTTCTTCTTCGCCGTTTTCTGATCGGCAACCGACTGCAGTAGATTTTTGCTGCTGCTCCCCGTTAGAGCATCCAAAATATTCCGGCGAGATACTCCCGAAACGTTTCCACGCGGAGTTTCCGAATGGGACATTCACGTACTGTTTGTTTTTCCGACGGCAATATGAATTGCACTAACGCACTGTTTATTTTCTTTTTGTTTGCAGGTTCTATTATTGTTTACATCGTTCGATTGCGACGATGTTTTCACTAGCCAACAAAATGGCGATTTTGTGCTCGCAAAACGTGCTCACACGGTTTCGATTTGGTTTTCAGCCAAAATGGCGTCACTTTTCTTCGTGCCTCGGACACACACTGTTACTTGTGGCGTAGCCTTGGGCCACTTTCCACCGTTCTTCTTGACCTTGCACCTAATTTCGACGTGTCACGGACACTCGCTCTCACTAGTGGCGTAGCCTTGCGCTCAGCACCACTGTTATTCTTCTCGGTCTCGGACCGATTTCACCTGTGCCACGGGCACACACTCGCTGTAGCCTTGGGCCGAATTCAGCACACGGTGCTAAACAACACTTTTCCGAACCGCTCGATCGCGAGTACCATCACCATTCCTCCGGTCATCCGGTTCGAAGGACCAAAATGTTCCACGATAGCTCACTGGTTCAAAATACGATTTCGGAATGTGATGGTTTTCGCGAGAGAAACACTCGAATGCGTCCGTCGTATACAATGTTCAGTTTATTTCTGTTGTTCGTTTCGTACAGTGCTGCCAGTTTAATTTAGAGAATAAAATATGATTATTTTTAGTGGCAAATATTAATTAAAGAGGTTTCGTTATCTCACAACCGTTCACGGGTTATCATCCCAACAATATGTGGTACGGTGGCACGATTTGTGGTATCGTTCATGTATGGTGCTCGTTTATTAGGGTAGATAATAAATGAAAATTAGTAAACGCTCTTTTAATGAAAAAAAAAAACAGCTGCTTTAAATGATCTGTATTTAAATGAAGTCTTCCGAGGCCCCTCCAATTTACCTTTGAAGCACTTGCTTTTAATACCATCATCATAAACTAGTTAACCGTTGAAGGGGACATCACAAAACAGGGAAATTTCGGCATCCACGCGTTCACGTCACTGTCATTATTTTATTCAATCAATTTATTAATAAGTATTACTAGTTCATAATATCCATATAAGGTTTTGTTGTATAATTTTCGCTTTCAGTTTTTTTTTTCTTTCTTCTTACTTATGTTTGTTCCTTTCCATTTCAGATTTACTGCTGCTACTGCTAACTTGTAGGTTGTTTTTTTTTCAATCGTTCTTTCCCCCGCTGCCCTTTGCCAATTGCTTTTTGCTTAATTATATATAGACGTTCTCAATTCTCGTATAGGTATCCATCATCCACTGGGAGTGTACCGAAAAAAAATGTGTGTCTCTTCAGTTTGCAGGGTATCAGGTTGCGTTTAGATAGGTTTTAAAAAACTAAAGTAATCCGAAAAGCGTATCAGTTATCAAGGGTTTCTATTCTGCCTAGCGTAAAAAAGGCTATTTATGTTTTAAACTAAAAATAAACAACCAATATTTATCCTCAGTACGAATAATAAACATTATTTTTTGCTTGATAGGAGACATCTGAAATGTACTTTAAAAAAAAACTGTTGGATTCCAATCAATAAATAAATAATCAAAACATGTTTTCTTACAAACCAATAAAAACGTATAGATGGAATAATTTTCCCCTCTTTTTTATAATTATGGCTATTTTTATTTCTTTGATTTCGGCGTGCGTTCTTATCCACGCACATTTTTTTTTCTTCTGAATAATGCTAAGTCCTGTCTTCCTGTGTTTTGTGTTCTGCTCGGATGCTAATAGTAATGAAGAAGGTATTTCCTAATATTGATTTCTGTTTATTTTTATACGCGGATTTTGATTCCCGACTTACGAGCTTAAAAACCAACATCCAGTGGATTTTTCTTCATCAAAACAAACCTAGCCTGTTTGCCTCGGACTATTTTCCTGATTCGTAACTATAAATAGAGAGAGACACGAGGCTCCAATTGGATTTCCTAAGATCTGAAAAATCATCGAAAAAATGTCCATTTTTAGATTGCTAGGGCTAGAACAAGCACACAGATTTTGAATTGAGGATAAGGAAGGCGTCTCTCTGCTGATCCGAATCTTTGCAAACACAGACTTTGCGACGACATGCAATTTACACACACGCGCGTACACTGAGATTCAGAGGCGAAACACTTACCACACCATCGAGAGGACAATTTCCTCCGGGGACAGATCCGGATTATCGTCCTGAGCTTCATCCGGAATGCTGGTCCCCTTGTCGTTGCTGCTGCTGCTACTGCCCGCAGCGCCATCGTCCACATCAGCCTTAATGATTACTTCGTCGTCCTCGTCATCTCCATTTTCGTCCAGCACGATTGCATCTTCACCTGACTGCAACAGCAGCTCACTTTCGTCGTCCTTATCGTCGCACAAAGAATTTTCCGGTGGTACATTGGATACCGCATCGGTGGCGCAAACACCATTGCTCGTCGAACCAATTTGCGCCGACGGCGTAGTTGGGGTGATGCCAGTGACGAATGGATAGTCGATTTCTTCCAGTCCCTCCGGTGGCTTCAGCTTGGCAAATTCCTCCCGCAGCTGGCGGTACTGGCGCCGAAGAACCATTGCGTTGAACGATATCGTCCGGCCGGTACGTTCGTTCTGCAGCGGTTTGCTCAGTTCCGCAATCCAGTCTTCGATTTGTGCACAGATTTCGTTCCGTTTCAACCAGAAGTGGGAGTGGATCACCTGTTTAAAAGGGGTCATTTTGAAATGTCTGCACGTTTGAAAGCGGTATTATAGCACTTACCTCTTTGAAGCATGGGCAAGGATTCTTCAGCTGTTCGAGCATAGCATAACGCACGCAAGCCTGGTAGATGTTGCTGTTGTATTCCCGCGAGCTGTGCGTTCCGCTGGGCGTACCACGGCTTCGCTCGAATCCTGGTTCGTTGAAGTATGGCTCCGGAACCAAGATGAGACTTTGAATTGAGACTAGTACCTGCAAGTGTGGAGAGAGATATTAGAGACAATCTTGGCTCCGGCAATGGTTGCGGGACCAACCTGCAGGAAACTCGACGTATGGGCATTCCACTTCTCCTCGGGCCGACCGTGCCAGGTGTTCAGTACAGATAAGCATACCTTACCGTCGTTATACAGGTTCGGATTGAAGCGTACCGTGTTCCTGCCGGTCGTCTCCAGATTGATCATCATCGGCGAGTTCGGATAATCGGGCGGGAAGTACACATCGAACTCGAAGCAACCGTTCGCGTACGGCGTCTCGGCCGGACCGGTGATTAATACTTTCATTATATCTAACCTATCGGTATCACAGCGTACAAACACAGAACTACTGTAGGACAGCGGCAAACTGGTGGAGAGGGTGACCGTTTCCTGGGCCAAACGTTTCACTCGACCCGGGTGGCCACGGTCGCCGGCCATGCGAACGTTCGTTTCGAAATGGTGCGAGATGGTGAACCGGTAGCCGTTTTCCGTTTCGGCAATCATTTCGAACGTGTCTGGAAGTAAGCAATGATCGGAGGTTAGCAACGGTTGGCAATGGTAGGCAGTGCTGCAAAATCTCGACAGTACATTGCGATATTCGCAATTCTGCTTTGGTCACTCATTTGAGCTAACAGTCATCGTCAAGGCAAACCATGTCAATTGTCAATGACAATGCTGTCAATGCTGACGAACAAGTGTAGATTTTTGTATAAGCTAAATTAGTAACGAAATTAAATTACTTCAACAAAACAATTACATGGAACCGGTAAAGTGAACATGCATCTACGTCCTGAACTGCTTGTATAACAATAATGTGACACAGAATTCACACGACATTACACTTGTTGTTACCAGGTCAACCTTTGTCATTGACGAAAAAATGAATGAGATTTAGACGAAGATTTTCAATATCGCGCGAAAGTCTGTCAATGACAATGACAAATCTCAGCACTGATGGTGGGTGACACTTTTCCGCACTGCTTGCATGTGTGTTTGAAAAACTGGCAATCCTTCACGAAATGCATGGCTCCACATTGCCAGCATGGAGATGGAGGAACATTACCGTCTACTACTGTCGCTTTAGGGTGACTGTTCGGTTGCTTCTTGAATTTCCGAACTGCCTGAACCATGGGAGATGAATCCTTCCAAAGTCGTATCGTGTTTTATGTTTGACAAACGCTGGTATTCGGTTACTAATCCCTCTAGGTTGATTGTTTTGGCTGACTCATACTCGAGCTTTGATAGAAGTCGGATCCTGACATCGGCTGATTTTAGGCCGCAGATAAACTGGTTAACGGAGAGTTTCTGTAGCACGAAATCTTCGCACTGCCGGTTGACGACTCCGGCGTACGTTACGAAATCGTCGGTTTCACTCTTGATGAGCTGGAGACAGCCGTAGCACTTGTAGAATAACGGCTTTTGTGACCAAAAATCGACCTCAACTTGGTCGAATGTAAAATCGCGTGGGTGGTCTGCCAAGAGATAATTGAATAATTTCTCGAGAACTGGAACGCTGAGGCTGCATAGCAACAACCGCACTTTCGCCGGATCGTCCAGGTTTCTGCCATCCTATCTGAAGAGACGGTAATCCGTTTTCTGGGTCGAAATGGAATTTTTTGATTACTCAGGAGCGCTTCGCTGTGCTGCTGGTGGTGTTCCTCCGGTGACTTATTCCAAAAGGACCACCTGACACTTCCTTTTCCTCCAAACTCCTTCCAAATTTCCAAAAATGATATGTTCCGTAAAAGTAAAGTTTTTAGAAACTATCTTAATTCCGTCAAAGGCTTTTTGTTTCTTTTGGATGGATTGTACTTTTATGGGACTTTTCTATAAGAGAATGCTGATACGTTGGTAGCTGGCAGGAGAGAGATGATCTGATCCTTCCCCAGTTCCAGATGGATATCATTTTAGCTGACTTTCAGCACGAAGGAAAGCAGCCAATCCTAAGACACTGATTGAAAATCAGTACCACGTGATTGCAGAATCTAGAAATCATATGTTTGAGTGCTAGATTCAAGCTGTTGTTGGGGACTTCATGTTTTCAGCTTCCTTCTAGAAGTCCTCCGAACTTTTATTGGAAATCCTTCGCACTTTCCAAGAAGTCCTCCTGCTTTCTTCTACAAATACTCCAACCTTCTTCTGAGAGTTTCTCAGCCTTCTTATGGATAATCTTTCGACGATTCATGGAACAATGTTGAGCAGCTACTCCCGAATCCTTCGAGGCTAAACGATGCGTCTTCGTTATCCCCGAATGGTGCATCTGCTCATCCGGAACACACCGCAGATGTTTCCACGATTTCCAAGAATAATGCGGCTGCCGCTACTGCTTTTGGACCACCACCATCACCACCGAGACGCATCATGGATAGCACTGTTGAAGCCCGTGATTTCTCTGCATCAGTCGCGCTTATTCCAGCCAGCGCTCTGCATAGTCGTCTCGGCCCTGAGTGTAGATATAGGTCGGGGGTCTTCCAACCAGCTATTACTGGTAAGTATACTGACGATTCAGCCTCTCCTTGGCCTGATACCGCTTCAACTTCTAGGTGTGTTTCCGGTTCTGCTACCTCCACACTAGCCACATCATGTCCGTCCATGCATCCGTCCTGCCAACTGCCAGTAGGTTTATGCCGCCACATGCTCTTCCTCGGATCCGGGACACCCTAAAACAGGCACTGAGGAAGCTTCCGAACCTCCCGACCCAGTCGCGCTTGCTGCAGACATCCACCATCGTCATCGTCCCAGTCCTGTGGTCGGTGATGGTATCGGGGGCTTCCGGCCTGCAACCTCAGGCGAGTATGTTAGCGATGTCCTTTCGATTTCTAGTTCCCGTGATTGCTCCTCGAATGGTCTCCGGATCTACTACCGAAACGTGCGTGGGCTGAGGACTAAAATCGACTCGTTTTTCCTGGCTGTTGCGGGGGCCGAATATGATTTGATTGTGCTGACGGAAACGTGGCTGGACGACCAAATTTACTCATCGCAACTTTTCGGGTCACTCTATTCCGTCTTCAGAACTGACCGGTCTGCCCTAAACAGTCAAAAATCGCGCGGTGGCGGAGTCTTGATTGCAGTATCTACTAGACTAGCCAGCTACGTAAGTACGTCACCCATTTCCAGTCAACTGGAACAGCTGTGGATTGTCGTAGAACTTCCACAAAGCAAGCTTAGTGTAGGTGCAATCTACCTGCCTCCCGACTGCAAAAACGACTGCACGATCATCCGTGAGCAGGTGGAATCGTTAGGCTCAATTTCGTCACAATTAAGTCCCTGCTCTCCCGCTTTCGTATTTGGTGACTACAATCAAGCTGGTCTGCAGTGGCGCTTTACAGACAGTGACACACCATTAATTGATCCACTGCTTTCGCATATGCCGGTTGCTTGCTGTGCTCTTTTGGACGGTTTTAACTTTTACGGGTTTACACGAGTGAATACTTTTCCGAACCGAAATGGACGTTTGCTAGATCATGTCCTGGCACTACCAGGCACTTCTGTTTCCTTGCCGGTCGAGTCACTGATTGATCTAGATGCCGATCATCCCGCTCTCGTTGTGTCATTTAGTTTACCTACGCCGTCATCTGAGTGCTACTCTTTGGACTTTCGCCGGGTCGATTATGTTGCATTGAACAATGCGCTTGCGGAAATTGATTGGCAATTTATCGAAACAGCCGCTAGCGTGAATGATGCTGTGGATTTTTTCAGTGCTGCACTGGAAGATGATGCTACTTTCCGCATTGGCCCAGCTCGACGACCTCCGCTAAAGCCTGCATGGCCTAACCCACGCCTACGCGTGCTAAAACGTCAACGCTCTGCCGCCCTCCGAAAGTATTGTAACTCTCGCTCGCCGTACTACAAACGACTGTTCAATTTTGCGGGTCGTAGTTATCGAAATTACAATCGTTTTCTCTATAATCGACACGTGAGACGCACGGAAGCGAACCTTCGCATGAATCCGAAAAGTTTTTGGTCGTTTGTCAACTCCAAACGGAAGGAATCCGGGTTGCCTTGTTCCATGTTTCTCGGGAATGGCTCGGCTAATAGCGAAAGAGAAAAATGCGACTTGTTTGCAAGTGTTCCACGATTTCTCCGCTTCGCCAACACAAGTGCTGGATGCTACTGTTGGGATGCCACGTGATGTGTTTAGTTTCGTTATTCCGCGCATTTTAGAAGACATGGTGATATCCGCAACACGCAAATTGAAGCTCTTGTTCGCCGCCGGACCTGACGGCATTCCGTCATCAGTTCTAAAACGTTGTGTAGCCAATCTCTGCCTTCCACTTGCGAGGCTATTCAATCTCTCGGCCACTGGAAACTTTCTTATCTGTTCCCAGTGTACAAAAAGGAGATAAACAGAATGTCATAAATTATCGTGGAATCACCTGCCTGTGTGCCTGCTCAAATTCGTTCGAGATTATCATAAATGGTGCTCTGTTCGCACGCTGCAAAAATTATATCGATACAGAACAACACGGTTTCTACCCGAAGCGCTCCGTGTCCACGAACCTGGTGCAGTTCACTTCCAACTGTCTGCGATGCATGGATTCAGGATGGCAAGTCGATGCTGCGTATATGGATCTAAAAGCTGCATTTGACACGGTGGACCATAATATCTTGCTGGCCAAGCTGAAGATACTTGGCATCTCGTCAACTGCTGTGGATTGGTTCAGATCTTACTTGGTGAATCGCTATGTACATGTCAGGATTGGCGCGTCGGAATCGGATGTTTTCTCAAACAACTCGGGAGTTCCGCAAGGCAGTAACCTGTCTTGCTCGTGTAGAGCACATAAAGGATCTCGGCGTTACCTTGGACTGCAGACTCACTTTCAGAATCCACTACAATGACATCATCTCCAGAACTAATCGACAATTGGGATTTTCAAAATTGCCGACGAGTTCCGTGGCCCGCTATGCCTCAGGTAACTTGTACGATCCTTATTGGATTCAAGTTCAGTTGTTTGGTGCCCTTTCCATGCTAGCTGGATCACTAGAATTGAATCCGTTCAACGCAAGTTTGTGAGATATGCTCTTCGTTTCCTCAACTGGCGTGACCCAACGAACTTGCCACCGAACGAGGAGCGTTGCCGTCTCCTGGGAATCGAGCCATTAGAGGTGAGACGGACGGTCGCTCAAGCTATGTTCGCTGGAAGCTGCTCACGGTTGAGATTGACTGTCCAACACTGCTGTCACAGCTAAATATGTATGCCCCTGAGAGGTCTCTTCGTCAACGCGACTTTCTGTTTTTGGAACCACGGAGCCGGATTTATACACAACACGAGCCAATTCGAGCAATCAACCGGCAATTCAACAACTTTTTTTATATGTTCGACTTCAATGCTGACGTGCTTCGTGCTTCCGTACCGTTGACCGTAACTATTTAGTTTATGTTTTATTCATTTAGACAATAATTGTCAGTTGAACTTTTCAATAAACAACCCTCAAATCATCTCCTAGAATCTCTTGATAGTACTCAGAAAAAGCCCACCTTTACATACCCCCCAAACACAACCCAGCCACAACTCACCGAATTGCAGCGCCTTCATTAGCTCCATGTACTTTTCCTCCACGGACTTCGCCATCGGCCTGGGAACGGTTTCGTTCTGCTCTTCTTCCACCATTACCGTTTCGACGTTGGTGGCATTCTGGACCAGCAGTGACGTCTCCTGAATGTCCGGGATCAACAGCGCCAACCCCTCGTCATCGCCGTCGTCCAAACTGACCGTAATCTTCTGGGTTTGACCCTTCAGATTGGACTTCTTGTTGACTCTGCGGAACACACAAAAAAAAAAAAAAAAAGGAAATGAGCTCCGTTCATCGCATACCACCAACGACGTCACAATCATACTTCAATCGACTCGCATAGGTATCCACACAGGCCTTCATATTGGCCAGTAGTGCCGCGATGGAAATCCTTCCTTCATTGTTCTTGTTCACCAACAGCGAAACCAGCTGGTTGGAAAGCGAAATGGCCCTCAGTAGCTGCAATATCGCCCGGTACAGCGGAATGTGACGCGTAATGTCCAAGACTGAAAGAAAATCACAGTTAGCCGAAGTTGTTCGTCAAGATTTAGGCAGATTGTTCCGGTCAAGTACCCGAATCGTTCCTCAGGTAAGAGCTGAGAGCCGGAATCATACAGGACTGCTGCAGCAGATCAAGGAAAATTGGCGGCAGCTCCGGTAGCGTTTCGCTGCATTCGCGATAGCTCAGTTCCTCACTGTCCAAGTTGGAAGGAATTTTGTCTCCTGGGTTTATGTAGCTTGATAGGACCTGGAAGTTATAAATTTTAAAGCAAGAATCTTTCAAAGCATATAGGATATGACAAACCTGCAACAATACGGTGACATGTTCTTCCTCACTTTTCTGTCGCAGCAAAGCCTGTTCAACATTCCAAGATTGTTGGGTTGAACCAGTTCCAAAGCCTGTTCCTTTCGCCCAGTATATGTGGCTTTTGTCGTCCGAATTGAGTTGATCGTCTGTGCCGTTTGGAGCTGCACCACCAGCAGCTGCAGCTGCTGCAGCAGCAGTAGTATCAGGAACACTGGGAGAAGCTTTGCGACTGGCAGCGGCCTGAATCTGAAACGTTCAACCAAATTCAATGTTACATCAATATCAACCATCAACCCGTCAACTCGAGTCTTACATTATCCGATGAATTGGAATGGCTGCTTATGCCGGCATTGTTGTGGTGGGTGAAGATGCTCAAGCAGTTCAGTACTAGGTGGATTGCACCGACTTCGATTACCATCCTCCGGAGCAACACTCCGTCATCCGTAGTCAGTGGCGAACTGTCCAGCAGCTGTCGGAACACTTCGAATGGTAGAGTTGGCAGTGAAGAGGACAGAGCCAAGCTGTAGATCTCATTCCCTTCGCCGTCTCCAGTAACGCCCAGAATCAACCGTAGCAAGCACTGTGCCCGAAGCTTATCCCGCAATAGGACTTCCGAATAGGCAGGCAGTTTTAGGAACAATGCGAATGCAGCCAACGAGTGCTGCGGAACAGCGGAAATAGCTTGCGCTTTCGGCGAAGCATCCGCTAGGATGTCGTCCAGGTCTTCGTAAATTTCTTCATTCTGTTCGACCTTGACCCAATCGCCGGCTGGCGGATTCTTGTCTTTGTCGGCAAGTTGTTGCTGTGATTTCGGTGATTCCGGATACACCAAGGGCAAGTAGTGCGCCAGCAGCGACAGTCCACCACGACTGGAGAATATTTGCAGGGGCGAAGCAAGCGGAATGAAGTCGGCAGCCTTCAGCACCGGCGAAGAGGCTGAAGAACTGCTGGCTTCGCAGGTTAGATCTACTTCCGGTTTGTTTTTGGCTAGACTCTGTAAGGATTGAGAACGGCTAAGTTTAGTGGCAATTGGCGAACAATGTATTAGAGGGGGACATTACCAGATTGAGATTTATGCATGGAGACGACAGCGATATTCCGGACGATTTAAGCATGGCAAGAACTTGCGAAACGGTGGTATCACTTGTAATCACTCCGTTAGGGATGGCCGTATGTCGGAGAACTATTCCATCCGGTGCGGTCAACTTCGGATCATCGATCTTCATTTCTAGACAGGGGAAAGAACACCGATTAGATCCCACAGGATAAGCTCACAAGTAGGTATATAGGACTTACTGAACATCGATAGAATATCCTTCTGCTTCATGGTGGTCGCTTGATTTTTGGCCTCCTTCAACCGCTTGTCTTTGGCCGTGACGCCAGCAGCGACACTAAGGAACTCCATACCCAAGCCCATTTCCCAGAGCTCTTTTCGATTATCGCTACCACCGGCCGATGATCCAGCGCTGGACGATCCGGCAAGTGCCTCTCCAACGCGGCTGTCCGATGGCAGATTCGGAATGATCCGGTTGTACGCCGTTACACAGTGGTCCAGAATTTCCTGGCATTTGGAATTGGTGCTCAGGTAGAACAGTCGGAAGTGTGTATTCGGCCGTTTTGATGGATGATTACTAATGTTGTACGGATTGGGATCCTTGTTCTGCAGCGGTAGATCACTTTGAACGGCAACCATTATCTTTTCACTTTCCAACAGAATTTGCAGCACTAGCCGTCTGGTAAATCCGGATATGCACGATTTGCCACCATTGTTTGGCCGATTATTGATACCGCTCTGATTCGAGCAACTGCCATTCGCAGTTGATGCACTGCTGGTGCTGGCTCGTCCGGAGTCAGATTTCCGAATAACGGAAATCAAGTTCACCGTCAGAACTTCCTGATTCTTCGGATGACACGACGTTACTTTGGACAGGAACTTAATAAGGCATTCTTCCAGATCAAGACATGCCTGGGGTGTTATCTCCGAAGCAATGATTGCCAATTTACTGTTACACAGCAACATGAGTAGAGGCTCCCAGAAGATGGAGCCTTCGAAGCAACCCAGCCAATCACGCATATGACCCTCCGAACAGACTTCGGAAAAGAATGTCAAAATTTCCGTTACTTTTTGAATATTGACCATAGGATAAACTACATCCTTGGCGCAGGAACCGGAATATTTATGATGCTCTTTGTCGGCATCCGTCATGCAAGAACTCGACTCCTCTGAACCGCAATCACCGGCGGTGGAGGCAGCGGCAGCTGCTGCTGCCGCTGCCTGTTCCTCTTCAAACACTTCGCGATTATCTCGTTCTACACTGCTGCAGCCGCTTCCGCCAGGTGTCACTGTCGTATCCTTTTGATGCTGATTGATGCTATTCAGTGCACGATGGCAGAAATCCAGAATGACCGATGTCAGTAGATTCGGTAGTCCGGAATCGATCAACTGCTGCACGGCAAGAGGCGACTGGCAAGCCATCGAAATAGTTGCCAGATGAGCCTTGGACAAATACAACCGACTTAGGTCCTCGATCACTAGATGACTGTACCATTCGGCCGCATCGGATTCCTCCTGCTTGATATCGTCCGTGATGCACTCTCCATCCTTACGGTCATCGGAGATGGATGCCGTCAAATCGGTGGACAAGTTCGGCACCAGCACACCCATACGCTTCAGTAGCATGGTAAACAACTCCGGACGAATACAGCAGGTCGAGCATAGCATGGCATCGATCGCCTTCTTCAGCGGTTCGTCATGATCCAATTCCTGGTTCCAATCGTAGAGCGTTTCGAACAGTTCCTTTGTGATCATGTTCGGAAGATCCGGGATCAGATCAGTTGCATACGATTGCCACAGGATCGAAGATAGACACCGGATGAATCCGCTGTACGGATTAGTAGCATGCAGTACGAATCTGTTCGTTTGATTCTGGTGATACCGTTCGTACAATCGTTGGACCCACGACAGCATCGCTTCTACTCGATCACCCGTATACTCGTTGTGGGTCGTGCAAAGATGATACAATAGGTCCGAAATGGAATCATTGCACAGCTGGAACGTCTGCGGGATGCTTTCCTTTAGGAGAATGTTTATCAAATTCAGTCCACACTCTTTACTGTAGAGTCCAATCTTCAGCAAAACCGTTTCCAAATTGTTCAGGGCAATGTTGGGGCACAGTGGAGCGATGTTCAAAAGCGAACAGCAGGCTTCCAGAAAACCTGGCACTTCCGTGGCAGCCATGATCACCCGGTTGGCAAGCTGTCGATCGGTGTTGTACATTACCACACTGGAACACTGTGCGAGTATTCGCAACCACCCGAGACTAGTCTTGGCAGCTTTGTCGTCATCATTGAAGTACTCATTTGAACCTTCAGCGGCTGATTTAGTCATCGGTCCTGATGCCGCCCCAGTAGCCCAACTTGGTCCAGCCACGGAAACACTGGTTGCGTCACTGAACGTAGTCGTTCCCAGAACCGATATTTGCGTCAACCCGATATTGGTAGCATCCCGAGGTCGATACAGGCGAATAATGACACTCGTAGCGATTTCCGGTTGGGCAAACTTCAACCGAATGCAGGTCATTCCGACGGTGGAAATCGGTTGAGTGATCGGTATTGGGCCTAGATTACTGTCGCGGGTGATCTCTATCGCAACCGCCGATGGACAGGACGCAAGGGTGGACAGATGGGGTTGCAGTTGAACTTCCTTTAGTAAAACTGCCGTCGGCAGTGTGATCGTCAAATCCACATGCGATTCGTTCGGGTAGAACAGATAGCTCCAGGCTGGGTTGCGAGCTCGACGATGCGACGCGATCGGAGCCTGGATGAGGACATCAGCTGGTTGGGCGGTTTGATTTTCGGACGAAATGGTACAGTACGGGGCGAAGTTTATGAGACCGTCTTCGTTTCTCGTTGCAGCCATTGAACTCTTTTTGGACGAGCTGGACAGGGTTGTGTGAAGGTTGGAGGACTTGGACAACCGTTGCATGATCATCGATACTAGGCTGGGCTGGGTGTTGATGAGGGCGCGATTGCTTCGAACCAGGCTCTCGCAGAGTACCTTGATGCCACCCATGTCGGTGAATATTGCAATGGATGCCGAATTATCCAGGACCTTCAGGATGAACCATAGGAATGGCTCGGACAGATGCAGCTTCGGCATTGCGTGGCGCATGCTTGAGGCGTTGTTTATGTAGTCGAACAACGGTTTCACCACCAGGATGTTTTGGGTGGCTGCTCGGCATATGTAGAGTAGAAGTTGAAATACGGCATCCGCGACGGTTTGCGGCTCGGTTAGGCTGCTGCTTTTCGTGTCATTGATCGAAGCGCAGTACATCGACGAGGCAACCAACATGGCAAACGAAGAAGTGGAACAGTGCGATAGCGTGCTCAGCAGACGGGTCATCGTGGGCGAATGCTGCAGAACCGTGTCGGCGAAGCACGGAGTCTTTGGTCTGGGGGGTTCAATGTGTTGCTGTTCGGCTTTGATCTCGTCCGTTTGGCTTTCGTTGGAAGTGTTTAGCTCGCTGAAGCTGGAGTTTTCGTATGCGGTGGCGTTATCCTCTCCCGAGCGAGGATTTTTCGTATTGACAAGAATGGAGGCAAGCTTCAGGAGGTCGATCAGCAGCGTGCTGTCGGTTACGGTTTTGCATTGGCGGGCATTTTCCGGACCCAAGACGGTTGCGAACAAACTGCCAAACCGGGTGGCGTACATATTGTTGGAATGACTATTCTCGGAAGCTCGGTAGCAGTACAGCTTCTCTACGTTCACAATGTTGTTGTACACCAGGTGGGCTGTTGAACATAAGAGGGTTGATTGTTAGTAGCAGTTAGTCATGAGCAGGATATTGAGAATAGTTTGCAGCAAGGTTGCAAAGACTCATTTCAGCTAAAACAATGTTTTTCTAAATTATGAAATAATTAGATGCCATGATCAAATTTTGAATTGGTAGGATACAAGAAGAGGTTACAAAGAATGTGTTTGACATATTAAACCTGTTTATTTCACTTCATGAGAGTCACAATCAGCGATTTTTCACAAACTCACTCACTCACTCACTCAGCGATCAGCAAATCGCTGATTGTGACTCATAGAAAGAAAAATTTACAGGTTTTATGTTTCCAACGCATACTTTGCAACCTCTTCTTGTAAGTTACAAGTTAAACATGCCATCATACCATCTTTTGGTTTTATTATTCCGGAAAACATTATTTTAGCTGAAATGAGTCTTTGCAACCTTGGTTTGCAGTCGGTTGTTGTAACTAATGGACATCCATCCTCGTATGCCATAAGGGTAAGGTAACGATGGTGCTATCAGCAATTTGTTTTGTAACATACAAATCAACCATTTCGAAAAATGTAGTTCTACGCAACATAGAAGTTAATACGAGTAGCGTCACCATCTGTGGTGTAATATTTTGAAATGCAAATTGGCAGCCATTCGTCAGTTTTTGTACTTGAAATTGATGTCTTTGCTAGGGAAACGACGAAGACATTATCCATAAGTTTATTTTCGACCCGGGTGATGTGCACCGATGAATTTAAGTTCATACACTGACGAAAATTTGACAGGAGAGCTTGGCAATGTTTACTAAAAATGAACACTAAATGTCGTGTTGTGTCACGCTTCTGACAAATTTTCTTCAGTGCATGGACTGAAATCCATCGGCGCAGTCGACTATGTCAATGATGAGATTTTGCTGTAAATACTGATGATACTTACAGACACATTCGATGATACTCATGGCCACACCGAGATCGTTCTTATCGTACGAAAACGACAGCAGCTCCTTGATCAGCTGGCTCTGGGCGTCGATCGGACCTTGCTGGCTCGAAATCGCCCCGCCAAACTGCACCAGGTGCAAAATAACCTTCAGCAGTATCTCCTTCAGCTTCTCCTTTACGTTGCACTTGAGCTCCAACCAGATGAACAGCTCCAGCACAAGTTTACACACCGTTGGACCGGCCTACAAAGAAAACCATGATTTACCCGTCCGTCAAAAACTTTCCATCGTCGTCAAACTTACGTATCGGTTGCTATCCAGCGACGAAATCGACTGGTCAACACCGGAGAAGAACCGCAGCAGCATTTTTTCGAAATTGTCATCGCCCACGATCAGATTACCCATCTTGCGGAAGTGATTGTCGCTGGTGGTCGAATTTGAGTCCATGTAGTCTGCTTCGAAGTGCGGTTTGCAGGCTAGGATCAAACACTGGAACCCTAGACACCACGCTCGCAGTTTGATGTTGGGATGCGAAGCCAGCGCCTTCAGCAATCCATGAACGGCACGATCGCCGAACGGTATCTTTGGGAAGGAGTACGCATTCAATCCCGGAGCATTGCTACCCGGCACCTGCTCCAGCGTTTCCCCATTGAGAGTTAACCATAGTTGCAGAATCTTCTCCAGATTGAGCCAGGAATCGACCAGATGCAGATCGCACAGGATGTTGTCGAACACCTCCGTCAGCATGGCATTGGTTTCCATGCCCTGTTGGTACTCTTCACCGGACCAAGCTTCGACGATCGATTCCGGCCAAGCGGGAAGCTCGAGCTGGTTCGGATTGAGCGGATCCGCAACGGTAACCTGCGGCAGACTGGCAATGAGGTTGAAAGTTGCTTTCATTGCCAGTCTTCTCAGCGTGATCTCCACGTTGATGTCCAGTCCGGTTTCTAGCCGGGCATCCATGGCGGAGGATACGGTTCTGGGTGGGGAAATAAGTTATGTTCGTTTTATTCACACAATAGACGAAGATCAATCTTTTATTATGGCATTAAAAATAAGTGCTTCATATGTAAGTTGACTGATCAAGGATTAAATGAAATCTAAGAAACAAAAACTTACTTGTACAAAAAGGTCAGCCCGTTCCGCCCGCTCGACATGTTCGAGCTGGAGTCCTTCTTGGAGACGCGCTTGGCCCGCTCCAGTATGTCATCCAGGATCAGGATATCTTCCATATCGGCATCGTCGCACTCCATCAGCGACGGGAGTTGATTTTTCACGGCATCCGCATAGCTGATGTCCTTCGAAACCTGAACACTGTGCGCGACGGGTTTGAATGCGGTATCCGGTACCGGAGGTGGCCGAGAAGAGGTACCAGCTTCAGAGGACGAAGTTGCTTCGTCGCCGGAAGAGTTTCCGGAATCATTGTCGTCATCTTTGTAGTTCTTGTCCGCTTCCAGCACGTCCTGCAGTAAACACGTGATAGCATGGACGGCCCATGGCTGTTGCTGATTTTCCCACACTGCAATCCGCACCAGCTGTAGCAGCTGATTGGTGGTGATGATTTTTGACAACTGGACTACCGGTCTACAGGCCAACACCAATCTAGCGATGATTTTACAGGTGATCAGAAACAGATCCATATTGCAGGTGAAATCCATGCTCAGGATTAATCCGATTAGCCCCCGAATAACCACGATAATGTTGCCGATCTTCAACGACTTCAGGCCCTTGTCGAATGCCGTTTCGTTGTCATTTGTACTGCTATCGGAACTGTTGTCTTTCGATCCACTCCCGCTGCTTCCGGACTGCGAACTGCGCGAGGATCCATCTCCGCTCGGAAGTCGAACCGACTTTGCTTTGGTGATTTCATTGAAATAATCCCCAAACGATTGTTTGACACTGTTCTGTAGCTTCTTGAGTTGGTTCTCGTGCTGCTTCAGTGCCATCTCTAGCTTACTGGCCGGCGTTTGCAGTGGATCCGAGTTCATCATGTACATTTTCTCTGTCACGGCATTGCCGTTGCCTCCGGTCAATCCCGCACTGTAGTGCTTACTCTGTAGGAATCGCTTTTTGAATGTTCTGGTCAACGTTCGCAGTCCACCGTTTCCCATGTTCATCCGCGCCTTAACCATGTCCGTTTCGCCGGACATGAAATCCCACCGCAAGTTGCTCTGATCCTTCTTGCCATCGACCATTCCGTCGTCAAGACAGACGGAAAGAAACAGCAAGATCCATCCGAGCAGATTGAGATCCGTGTTACACCAAATATTCAATCCACTGGCACTGTTTTGCGCCAGGGGAGCTAGCAGGGTTGCTAGGCTTTTCAGAACAGCATCGATCACTATCGATCGACAGGTACCCATCGAGATGCTCTTGCGACCAAGGTACGTCAGTAGGAAGAAGACACGATCCTGCGGGAAGATGCGACTGTTCTGGGATGAGTACAGTTTGAGAAACTTGTCGGCGAGAAATTCCCCCCACCACGGTTGGAAGCAGCACATCCGTACCAACATCGAGCAGGTTGCCAGTTGGATGTGGGTGTCTCCGTTTATGACCAGGGTGTCGAACAATAGGTTGCAGGTGTCCAGGTCAAAGTACGGATAGATGTTGGCCACATTCTGGACGCCGTATGTCGTAATTAGGTGCAATAAGGTTTCGATGAGACACTCGCTAAGAACACGTAGCTTGTCGGTGTAGATGGGTGACAGATCGCCACCTGGTTTCAGTTGCTTCGGAAGGTTCAACACCGATGCGGGACCTCTGATACGATCGATGACTCGTTTGATCACATTCAGCTGGTGCTGGAAGGCCATACATTCCTCGTAGACGGCGTACACTTTCTGGTTATCGTGGAACGATACCCCAGAACTGCCGGGTCCAGTTTGGTCTCCACTATTTTCCTTGATCCGATTAAGGAATGCTTGCATATGGGCAATGTTGGAAGATTCGCTGTTGATCAGGGGTTGCAGCAAATCCATGAGCTTACTGCTAGACAGACAGTATCGGCAGTGAACGTCTTCGTAGAGTGCTTTCAGGATTTTGGCCTGTGCAGGAAGATTGTTTTTCTTGTTTTTTAGATACTTCATAACTGGGTCGGCATATCCTTCCCGGTCGAGAATGACGATGTGTCCGTAGAAGGATCCCATCGGGATGCGGCACCGGGTGGCAGACATTCCGTACCTTCCGGTGATGGTTATTTTCAGATAGCGACAAATCGGTGGAGGCTGCAAGTCACTCAGTACAAGCGTTCGTGAACCAATGTCCTGAGAAACCACCAACCTCACGCTGTCTGCCTCTTCTTCGAAGCACCAAATGTCTATGAAAAGCGAGGCCAAATCCGAACAAGCTGGAATGATCAAATCAGTCAACATGATGGGTGCACCGAAGTCCAGAGTTATGTAGCGCATCGCTCCGGAGTGCATCCGTTCCACCACGATCACCTGCTTCGGGGGCGTGCTAAGCAACTTGTGCCACGGAAGCCCATTTGCGTTCTCTTCTGCATTGCTATCTTCGAAGAACTCCTGGATCTTATTGTTCAGGGCAATCGAAGCCTGTGGCTTATCCTCAATGATGTTTGAAGAGTCGTTGCCATTTCCTCCGACGAACACCATCCTCGGTTCGTTGGAAGGACCCCAGCTCTCGATTTCGTTGAAGCTCTCATTCTGTGCGTCGATCTCTTCGGCCGACTTCTTCGCCTCGTTGAAATCGTCCTTCATCTTATGCTTCTTCAAGGCCGAATAGAAGATCTTGTCCACTAGAATGTTCTTAACGTTGTTCATCATATCGTCGTCCAGGTTCTCCTTTTCTTCCAGCTTGATATGATTCTGCACTGGTTCGATGTTGTTCTGGGCGGTGTTTTCCATCAGGAAGTCGTCGATGATGTTCGTAGCCTGGACGTTATTGGCATCGACATTTTCCAGCCGTGTGGCATCCGACGTCGAACTGCAAACATAGTGCAGTGGTTCCACTTCCAGTAGACCCTTGAAATGATTACCGATTCCGCGGCGACGTAGTTGCAACGGGAGAAACTTCAATTCGGATCCATCAGCAATGCAAACCGAACGCAGATCGATGGACTGATTGTTCGCCCCCGTCCCGGTCGTTTTCGTTATCGAGCAGGTGTACGTGACGTTGGTGTTCTTGGATGTCAACGGTTGCGAATCGAAGATTTCCGACTCGAACGGCGATCCGTACAAGCCGAATCGCGTTCTTAACAGGGCCGTGTAGGGATTGCTCCGCTTGCGCATCTCACTGGCGACGTCTTTCAGTAGGGAGATACATTTTTCCGAAATCGGTCCGTGTGAATCGCACGTGGATGCACCGGAAATGAGCAATGTAAACCATCGCAGCGCTCCGGCATGGTTGGAATTGATGATCTCCGGTAGACAGGTGATGATAGCCTGCTTGAGTGACTTTTCGAACGAGTTGCACACGTCCTTGTCGGTCATGTTTTGGGCACCCCTGAAGAAAAATAAGAAAAACAGTTATGAAGTTCGGATCGGTATGTCTCCAGTCATGGATAAATACTTACTCCAACGCCACGCTCACAAACTTGACGCACTTGTGAGCGATGCTCCGGTTTCCCATCACCACACAATGTCGGATAATTTCCTCCAGGTGCCGTTCGACAATCTGAATGCACTCCGCTTGCTGGACGTTGACATCGCTGGACGCGGCATCCTTGATCTCCGCCGTCGGTAGGATCTTCTTTGCGAATGGGTTCTTCGGATAGCGATAGCGCACCAGCCGGATCGAGACGACCCAAATCAGAATGTCGAACACCACGTTCTGCTGCATCTGCACGGTTTCGTCTGCGGTGTAGAGCAGCTTCAGGAGGTTCTCCAGCAGAAGGTTGGAGTCCAGCATGGCCAACCGCTGGGCACGTTCGTTTTCGATCTTGTACACCTGGCGCGTCGAGCGGACGGTGATCGATATCTCGTTCAACCAGTCGCAGCCTGAAACGGGGGGAGGGTATGCGCTATTAGTCGAGGCTTTGAGCTAGTGGAAGCGGTCAAAAGACGTAGAATTTCACGGTTTGTTAACATAATACTGAATTGCTTGTCCCAGGTTTTTGTTACAGGAAAAGAAAAGTAAACCAAACGTTTTTTTTTAGCGACTTAAAACAACAGAGAGAATTTGAAAGAGGAAACTCATACCGGAAGTGCCAGTGGAAAGGATCACACTTCCAAAAGTTTTATGAAGTCACGGATGTTTTTCAGATTCTTGTTTTAAACCCTTACTTTCTACCCTGAAATGCTTAACTTATGTTATATGGTAAGTTATAGTACATCTAATTTACATGTGATTCAAGCGTGCATCGATTTGTAACGTTAGGTGTATGTACTCAAATCAAGGTTCTACCAGTTTGGCCTACACAATAAAATAAAACAGCTCATACTGGGTAGCAACTCAAAAGAGTTTTCCAGGTACCAACACTAAATTTTCAGGTTTACATTTCGTGCTGGTTTTCGATAAAAATCATCTCGAAAACAAATTTCCTCTACTGTGACAGGGATCTACATTTTCGAAGTTCTAAAATGAACTCGAGTTTTGTTTCTCTCATACAAACGTGTTCGACGCATCATTTCTATGACGCCTAGCTAGACTATCAGTGCGAAACGAAAATGAAAAAGAAGCACGCTTAGAACGAAAGGCCGGATGTGGATTTTCTCGTCGTTGCTTTGCTCACCGCTTTCAATGAAAGCAGCTTCGATTTTCGTGTTGAAACGAAACCTCATTACGGCTTTCAATTCCTTTCATCGATATTCGGTCACCGCTCTTTCGATTTGTTTAAATTTGTGTGTATGAACCGGCATTCTTGAAATGGATGATTGGATTTACAGTAGAGCAATTATCTATCGGTAAAAACAAATTTATCAACAAATAGGTGCAGGAAGGTTTCTTCCATAAAAGCACTGCCGGTCAATGGGAGATGCCCTCGGAGTTTCCCTGAATGACATGGTTTGTGTGGGACCGACAGTCCAAAGCGACCTGCAGACAATCATTCTTCGGTTCTGCGCGCATCCGGAGGTACTAACGGCAGACGTGCCTAAAATGTATCGCCCAGGTTTGGCTGAGCAAGAACGGCCGCAAGTTCCAGACAATAGTATGGGTGGATAAAACTGGAATACGCAAGGCGTACGAATCGAAGACAGTGACGTACGGGGTGGCTAGCTCACTGCATTATGCTACAAAGGCGCTAATTCAGTAAGGTAAGGATTTGCCGTTAGCTGAGCAAGTGATCCAGTACGACAGTTACATCCACGATTTCCTGGTGGCAAATCTGCGGAGGAGGTTTTGAAGATCTATCGCGAGCTAACGTCGCTATTGCAACGTGGATGATTTGGCGTCCACAAGTTTTGTTCAAACGATCCCGAAGTACTGAAGACAATACCAGAAGAACTGCAAGTAAAGTTCGTTAGTTTTGAGGATACTGGAATCAACAACACGTTAAGGACACTGGTCCCCGCTTGAGGATTATTTTGCATTCTTCAGTGAACTTCTTCGACGAAGTGAATGGTACTGTCCGACAACGGTCGCCTATTCGATCCCCTGAGGTTCCTGGGACCGATCATAACAGCAGCCAGGTTGGTGATGCAGAATATATGGCGTCTTGACTTGAACTGGGATGAAGAGCTACCGGAAGAATTGCTGCAGAAGTGGATTACGTTCAGGCAACAATTGCCTGTCGTCAACGAAATACACGAACAGCGCTGTGTGATCCCGGAGAACGCATTACTAATCGAGCTGCATGGATTTTCGGACGCTTCGATGCGGGCCTATGGAGCGGTCATGTATACCAGGTGTGTCACAGCGGATGGCACGATTAGGGTGAACCTAGTCGCAAGCAAGTCACGAGTGGCTCCACTGAAACCGATGACGATTCCCCGGCTGGAATTATGCGGAGCAAAACTACGGGCCAACGGTCAACCAACCATCAAAATTTCGGCATGATCCGCCAAGGGTGAGGCGCGTTACTCGCGTCAACACTGAAGCTCCATCATTGCAGGAGATAGAAGCAGCCATCCGAAGTATGAAGTCCAACAAAGCCCCGGGGGGTTGATCGCATATCAGTAGAGATGCTCAAAGCTGACCCCATGCTATCCTCACAAATGTTGCATCAACTATTCGTCAATATCTGGGACACCGCGACTTTTCCAGCCGACTGGATGCAGGGCGTCTTGGTAAAAGTCCGCAAGAAGGGGGATCCAACTGTATGCGACAACTGGCGAGGCATCATGTTACTGTGTATTGTTCTCAAAGTTCTGTGTAAAGTTATCCTCAATCGGATACAGGAGAAGATCGACGCGACACTCCGACGACAGCAGGCAGGATTCCGTGCTGGAAGATCCTGTGTGGACCATATTGTCACGCTCCGCATCATCTTGGAGCAGGTCAATGAGTTCCAAGAGTCCCTGTACTTGGTATTCATTGACTACGAAAAAGCTTTCGACCGACTAAACCACGAAAACTTGTGGGGCCCTCTGAGACGCAAGGGAGTCCCTGATAAGATCGTCAACCTCATCGAAGCGCAGTACGAGGCTTTCTCATGCAGAGTGTTGCACAACGGAGCTTTGTCTGACCCGATTCGGGTAATCGCGGGTGTGAGGCAAGGAACCGTGGGGCTGCCACAGCAACCCACCTATTACCATGGAGCATCTCAACGACTTCGATTTGGCTGATGATGTTGCGTTATTAGCACAACGGCGCTCTGACATGCAGAGTAAGCTCGACGACCTTGTGGAACGCTCCTCTGAAGCAGGTCTAACCATCAACGTCAACAAGACCAAATCGTTGGATGTCAACACGGAAAACCGTTCCAATTTCACGGTAGCTGGGCAAGCAGTGGAGAAAGTCGAAAGCTTCCAATATCTAGGCAGCCAGATAGCGTCGGACGGCGGCACCAAGAGCGACATAGGTGCACGGATTAAGTAGGCGAGGGCTGCTTTTGTCAGTTTGCGAAATGTATGGAGAGCGAATCAGATCAGTCGACGCACCAAAATCCGAATTTTTAACTCCAACGTGAAGTCTGTGCTGTTATACGCCAGTGAAACATGGTGTGTATCAGCGGAGAACACTCAGAAGCTGCAGGTGTTTATCAACCGATGCCTGCGGTACATAATTCGTGCCTGGTGGCCCCACAATTGGATCTCAAATTCCGAGCTTCATCGTTTGTGCCATCAGAAGCCGATAGAGACAGAAATTCGTGAACGGAAGTGGAGGTAGGACACTACAACGGAGCGGAAATGAAATCTGTAAGCAAGCACTGGACTGGAATCCAGCAGGACATCGCAGCAAAAGGCAGACCCAGAGGCTCGTGGCGGTGGAGCCTAAACAGTGAAATTAAGAACGTTGAGCGACCCTTTGCATCCCTGGATCGTTAAGTATTTAAGTAAAACTACGGACAGACTTGACACCGAAAGTAGTTAGTTCGTTGCGAATTCGTTTCGTATTGTGCTGGTTCAAAAAGTCACTGTCGGCACTGAATCAATTTGTCTCGGTTCGGGTGGCAACAATCGTGGAGTTGACTCAAGGTTATCAGTGGAATTACATCCGATCGGAGAGCAACCCTGCCGACGTGATTTCAAGAGGTGCATCATCGGTAGACTTGTGGATCTACGATCTCTGGTGAAAAGGATCACCACATCTTACAGCAACTGGAATTGCAAGCAGGCGTAGATGACGAGGCTCTTGAAATACCGTAACTCAAAACAGCGACAGTACTAGCCGTAAACTGTCTCCCAAGCATCGTCTTCAGGCAAGTATGCATACATTCGTTACAGTCATTTGCCTGATCAGTTTCCGTGTTCCAGTGCAACGCTTCAAGCACATGCCGGTTGTTTCCAGTTGAGAAGCACTTCTGATACTCCTCAGTCACAACATCCGCTTTACTGTTCGAACAATCCTAATTCATCTCCGGGACGCACAATAGACCGCTCTTTGGAAGCTCCTGGTTCCTCCAGCCCAGTCGTGCCGATTCGCGCCATCGTTCAGCATAGTCGTCCTGGACCTGTGGCTGGATATGAATCAGAAGTCTTCCACCTTACAAGCAAGTACAATCAATATATTGACTATTCACTGCCTGATGCCGGTCAAATTTTCAGCAATTCTGACTATGTTAATCATTGTGATGATGCCTCTGTAACTCCCAATCCTGGAAACCCGGAACGCCAACAGCGTCTCAGTCCTGCCATCAGCAGCCTTCGTTCATCATAGTCGTTCCGGACCTGCTGTCGGATGTGGAGAGGGGGTCTTCCAACCCACTCGAGTATCCAATGAGTCTTGATGATGGTCAGTTATTGCCTGATGTATCTGTGATTTCCAGGGAGAGCAGTCGTTCGATTCCTTGCCGCAAGCAGGACGTCGTGATCTTCTACCAAAACGCCGGTGGAATGAATTCTGATGTTGAAGAGTACCGCTTAGCTGTATCGGATCGTTGCTACGATATTATTGTCCTGTGCGAAACGTGGCTCGATTATCGAACGCTTTCCAGCCAAGTCTTCGGTCCTGACTACGAGGTCTTTCGTTGCGATCGGAATCCTAACAACAGCCGTAAATCTACTGGTGGAGGTGTCCTTGTAGCTGTCCGTAGCGGGTTGGAGGCAAAGGCCATCGAGAACGATTCATGGAACTATGTGGAGCAGGTTTGGACAGCCATCAATCTGGGTAATCGCACACTATTTCTATGCGCTCTGTACATTCTGTACATCGAGTCCGCGACAATGAACTCATCGATACTCACTGTCGGTCAGTTTTCACAGTTGTCGAAAGTGACACTCCAGTTGATGAGATATTCATTTTTGGTGATTCTACATTTCACGCAGGAGCTATTAGCCTTCTCGACAACTACAGCGCAGCGACGCTTTCTAAAATTAACCATGTAGTTAACGAAAATGATCGTAGTTTGGACCTCTGCTTCGTGAGCACACAGGACAGGGCTCTATAAATTTCCTCG